AAACGTTAGTTGTACAGTAGAATCTGAAACAGTCCTGCTGTGCATAAGTAAGTGTGTGCGTGTGCATGGTGTGTATGTGTGTGTTTAAATTACACTTATTAATATCACTCATACATACATATGGAAGTCAGAGGACGACTCACTGGAGTTGGTTCTCTCTCTCTGACATGTGGATTTATGAATCCAGTCAGGTCACATGACTAGTGGCTATCTGTTGAGCCATGACGTTCACGCCTGTCCCTAGCTTTTTGAGGAAGAGTCTAAGGTGTGGCTCGACCTGGCCCTCCCAATCCTCCTGATGCAGCCTCCCAAATGCTCGAACTGCAGGCATGTCACATCATGCCCAGCTCATACTTTTTGCATTATTATTTTCTGTTAGATCTTTCTGCATTTTTCTTCTACCATGTATAACTTTATAACAGTTTGCACCAGTTATTGGGAAGTGTTGTTCCAATAAATAGATCTTCCAAATGTTGAAATGTTTAATTATGTAATTACCAAGACAGTTAGCTATACAGGGGAGAGAACATCAGTGATTTCAGACCTAGGAAGGCTGAACAGGAGGACAAGGAGTTCAAGGCCAGCCAAATCACAGAGAGACACTGTTCCAACCCTGCTTCCCCTACCCTACCCATCCCTAAACTCCTGTAGTTTTGCATTTGTTGAGATCACCATCGGTCTCACCAGAAAAAAGATGTTCGAGAACCGGGAAGCTGTTGGTATCACGATGGCAGAGACTAGTGCCAAAACCGTAACTTTTACCCATTTGCTGAAACCGCATCACTGGTAACAAATATCTGATGTTTCACATGAGATGGCAGTCTTTACTCAGTTCCAAGACGTGTCTGTCAAGCACTGTGACGAAATGTCTGCCAAGCTGAAAACCAGTCTGCCACTCAGTCTTTTCCATAAGAACTGGTAATCTGGGGGGGGGGGGTCCCTCAAGGCAGCCATGATATTTGGTATATGGGAATGTCTCATAAAGGCTTACCTCTCATTTCCTCACAAAAAACATATTGAGAGCACATGTTCTCAAAGTTGAACTTAATGAAATTAACCACTTTTATTGCCCTGTGGTGACTCGGCTTCCATGGAGCTGTCTCTGCTTGGTTCAGCTTCTCTCTCTCTCTCTCTCTCTCTCTCTCGCTCTCGCTCTCTCTCTCTCTCTCTCTCTCCCTCTCTCTCTCTCTCTCTCTCTCTCTCGCTCTCTCTCTCTCTCTCTCCCTCTCTCTCTCTCTCTCTCTCTCTCTCTCTCTCGCTCTCTCTCTCTCTCTCTCTCTCTCTCTCTCTCGCTCTCTCTCGCTCTCTCTCTCTCTCTCGCTCTCTCTCTCTCTCTCTCTGTCTCTCTCTCTCTCTCTCGCTCTCTCTCTCTCGCTCTCTCTCTCTCTCTCTCTCGCTCTCTCTCGCTCTCTCTCTCTCTCGCTCTCTCTCTCTCTCTCTCTCTCTGTCTCTCTCTCTCTCTCTCTCTCTCTCTCTCTCTCTCGCTCTCTCTCTCTCTCTCTCTCGCTCTCTCTCTCTCTCGCTCTCTCTCGCTCTCGCTCTCTCTCAGTGAGTACCCAGCCATGAGGGACACAGCATGGTTTGGTGCCACTGTCTTAATTCAGCAGCTTTTGCCTATCACTTGTCTATCACCATTACTGGAGACCTCACCCCAGTGAGAATTGCAGGGAGTCTGTGTGTGTGGCTTTCAGGACTCCTAGGGGCTTGCAGCGACCCCCCCCCACAGGTCTATGATGATCATGGACTCTGATATAAATAACTACTAGACGTGCCGCACCTCTGATCCGGAAAGTGAGTGTACCCCATCCGGCAGCTCTGCCGGGAAGGGAATGGCAGGAACAGAGACCATCGGACACCCCTGCCCTCCCTCCCTCCTCCACGGTCTTCTCAGAAGGCATTCCCACCACCTTCCATACCATAGCAGGGAAGGGCCTCTCAGGACTGGAGGTATCTGCTTCCCTTCTGGCTTCATGCTCTACCAAAGCCTCCAAGTTTTCCCCAGACATGGAAATATGCAAAGACTCTGAGTGGACTCCCCAGCAGAACTGGAATTCTACTAATGAGCTGAGGCAGAACCTGCCCAGACATTCCCAGCTGTGATGTAGAGGCAAAGGACATAGCATCTAGCTCCCAAACCAGCGAGATGTTCAAGCCCGCCTGCTGCCTTACTATCTGTCTGACCCGAGGAACGTTAATTAACGTCACGATGCCTGCATTTCTCCACCTATATAATGGGACAATCAGAGCCCCGCTGCTCACGGTATTGAACAAACTAATGTGTAAAGAATGCCTAGAATAGCACCCCAGCGTGACTGTTAGCTATTGTTTTTATACGGTGCCGAGGGCTCTCCGAGTTTGGATGGGTTTCCTGAGCACCACAGTGCTGAATCAGAATGGTGAAGAGAGAGGCTGTCAAGAAAGCCCATGTCGATCGATCTGTAGGGCCACACGTGTGAGGCTGTGCTTGGAAGAGAGAGGACTGTAGGGGTGGACGGCCCTGGGCCTGTCTGGTTTACTTATGGAACATGCCAAGGACCTCAAGTTAAGACCTTCTTTCACCTTATTACCTAACATACTGATTGATAGATGTCTACAAAAATGTTACCCCCGCCCCGCCCCCGTGGGTCAGAACTCATCATTATAGACTGTCAGGCCATTTGCTGCTGCTGGCAGGGTGATTTCTCCCCACCCCCACCCCCCCACCCCCCCACCCCACGATGATGCCAGTAGCCACGGCTGAGTGGGTTCCAGGCCTTCCGGAAACTAGCTTATGCAATCCAAAGCTGGAACCGACCACCCAGATGTTTACTCAAATACCTAGGTTGGATGTGTTGTTTTTATCTTTACTGAACATCTTTTGGCAGCTATGTAGTCTGGCTCATAAAATCATTATAACTAATTAAGAGTTTTAGGCTAAATCTGAAGTTGAATGATTTCAAGGATCCTCTTCATGCAACCATTCAGTCTCTGAATTGCCACAATTATAAGGCTGCAAAGAAATGCAAAATCACCATAATAAGAAAATAGTAGCAAGGAACTGACCACTTAAAAATTTTGCCCTCCTTCAGATGTCCTTCATAGAAAGCTTAACAATGAGGGACTAAACGCATGCCTCGTGACAATGTCATGTCAGCTACTCAGCATTTGTCTGATTCCGGAAAGAATCCAGTTACCCACGCATGTAACTGGTAGATGAAGAGTCTATCTAACCAGAGGAAGGGAAAATCTGTAGTGACACCACAGAATCGCCAGACAAAAACAACTGGAATGTCCATACATTAAGGTGACACCCAGAAACACATGAGACCCTGCAGTGTTTTATAGAAAGGTTTTCCATGCAACTGAACAACCAAGGCATGAAGTGGAGGATGGTTAGGGTTAGAGTCAGGGTTAGGGTTAGGGTTAGGGTTAGGGTTTATTGTTCTAGAATTTTGACAAGACAGTTATGCCAAAAATAAATGGAAATCTTGTTATTGTTGATTCTGAGAGTTTAATTCATAGCTATTACTCAACCAATCCAAACTTTTGTCAATTAAAAGTGAGTTATATTGGCCTTATTTTCAATTTTCAATACTAAGTCCTAGCCAACCTTCTTCCCATCACCCACCAATGCAGTGAAAAGATGATAAGGGACTTGGGATTCTAACTGGCCGCTCGCTGATACCAAGTGTCCTGAAAGGTAGTGAAGACACTCAGTCTGTTCCGAGAGAGCACACTGGCCTCGTGGAGGACTCCATCTCCCTGCCTGTCCCCTCTCCTCACAGGATGTCTTACTGCAGACAGAGGAGGAACTCCGTCCTTCACAAGAGTCAGACTTAAACAGGAGCACAGGTAGATTCTCTCCTCGCCACACAGGTGACCAGGACCTTAGTGCTGGCGTGCTGCTGGCAGAAGTGGGAAGCCTCACCACATCAGCCACGGTAGGAGTCAGGGGTTGGGGTCTCCACCAACTGCTCTTAACTAATCCTAATTGTTTTCCTTCTAAAGGCCCCACAACTGCAGGCTGGATTCATCTCTGGCTTAAAGGTGACAAATTTGTGCCTGCCAGGAGTAAGTCAGCTGGCTTTGAGAAACACACTCATACTACTCAGCAGGCACAAGTGACAATGACCTTCCCTTTGCCTCCAAACAGCTCTTGTGTAGTTAGCTAAAGTAAGAAATCAGAGACCAAGGGACGATGCTCAACTGAGCAACCATGTGTGAAGTTACTTATTCTACCGAGCACGGAGAAGTCTGGAATTTGAAGACACAATCCATATCTATAACGGATCTGCAAAGACTCTCTAAGGGGTGTGTGTGTGTGTGTGTGTGTGTGTGTGTGTGTGTGTGTGTAAACTTCCTCTGTAAGATAGATTATTTATGATTATTTATGATGCTTTATAAGTTGACTTCCCTTCACCTGGCCCAAGCAGCTCAGATACAGCACAGCAGCTGGACACTGAATTTGGGGAATGACAATTCTTAGTGCCACACTTCCTTAGATGAAGGTAACACTACGCCTCTTTTCCCCACACACCAATCTCACCTAATTTTTTTCTCTTTGTAGAAAGTATTTTATTCCATTTATCCACTAATTCCACCCACAGGCCAGAAGGCAACTTATGGGAGTTGTTGTCTCTTCTGCAGTATGGGCTGGGGGATCTAACTCGGGAGGTGGGGCTTGGCTGCAACACCCATCTTGCCAGCCAGACTTGCCTCAGCTTTTTTATTTCCCTCACATGGGACTTTTACTGATTTTGCTTCTGCTTCCGGCAACAGTTGACAGTTGCCTCTGCATCTCGAGTTTTTTTTTTTTTTTGAAAGCCCTTCAAAGAGCAGATTTTTGTGCCAGTACCTATAAAAATTGCTTGGCAAACAGATGAACATTTCCTGTGTTGAGACTTTTACCTCAGTTCTGACTCTGTGAATAGCATTTTTAAATCTGAAACAGGCTGAAGGGAAACATGAAGTAATTTAACATGTGAAAAGGCCAACCAGTCTGGCCAGGCCTGGCTACTTACTTTCTCACACAGCTCTTCAAACGTGCAGTCGGCAACGGTTCCACAGGCTTTATTCAGCCGCAGCTCTCTGCCTTGCACTTTTAGAATCCTTGGTCTAGTTACTATGGGAACATGAACAAAGACTCAATCTTGTCTGGATAATTACTATAAAATTCATCTCTTACAGATAGGAAATGCATAGCTTGATGAATAATAGCACATGATTCAACACATAAATTAGACAAAATGCTGATACAATGACTACCACTTGAGCGTGGCATCAACCCATATACAGCAATGGAACTTATTAATTGGTCAGTGGAGATTGGGCATTGTGTTCTAAATGTATTCTCTTTCAAGAGAAATTAACTTACGTACAATCGTTTTGTTTCTGGGCCAGCTCATCAAACAACTTATCCATGACAGCCTCCACATCAGCATCACTTGTGCTACAGTGAAAAGAATAATAGAATATGAAATTAATAACACTTGAAGCCAACATCAAACAGCTGCCTGAGCCCGCTTAGCTTTTTGCCCATAAAATGAGAGAACAGGGTGATATGCTCTAAATACAAACATTAGATTTAGAACACACTTAAAAGCAGAGAATATTAACTCTCAGGTAGACGACCCTGCCTTATTTGCATACATTGAAAGACTTCTGAGCTTCTAGATGTTTCCAGTAATGAGGCGATGCAGGCAGAGTAAATCCATTAATACTATGTGTACACAATGAGAAGAAAGCGTCTGACTCTCGCTTGCACGCCAAACAAGAGCAAATAGGCAAGGCAGTCAAGCATCCAGCAAGTGCCCTTTGAAATCTCCCCTGAGAGGGGACACGTGAAACGAAGCATTGAGGGTGTTTTTAGAAAAAACAAGCCAAGCTGCTGGCGGAGAGGATGGAGCACTCAGAATAAAATTGCTAGCTTCCAGATACCAACTTGGTCTGCACACGGGAAACTTTATCAGACTCTGTGGCTCTGAAGACAAATAGGGCAGGCTCCTGTGAGCACAAGGACAAGCACAGACCGCTTTCCCTCAAAAGGGTCCTCGTCCCCCAAGTCCCCTCCTTCTGTGATGCTGCCTTATTGCAGCAGCTATGGAGTGAGCCTATCACACAGCCTTTGTATTCTAATTAGGAACACCATATGCTTAAGGACCATGCATAAAGAAACGTTGTGGCCTTTTTTCTTCTCACTTTTCTTTTTTCCAAAGAAGGGTTGATAATTTATCAGTCTATTGACGTCTATTGAAGAAAATAACTGGTAAAAGGAAGGTCATTCAAAAACAAAAACAAAAAACAAAACACAAAACCCTTTAAGTGAAAATCTGAGTTTCCTCTAATCCTACAAGCAAATTTACACAAGTTTACACAAGATGACCTAACCAATATGCTTAATTTTGACACAAATCAATCTTAGCTAATTGTGGAAGCAGCTGACATCGCTTTAATAGTGTCTTGTTGAGAATTAGTCATTAAGATTAAGTTGAAACTAGGTTTTTCTTAGTGGGCTGCTGGCATTTGACATGGAGCCACAGAGTCCCTCAACTGTAGCAGATGCAACAACTTACAAATGCAGTATCGCAGCCGTCAGGAGGGCCAGCAGCCACCCACCTCTGTGGGTCTCAGAAATATCACTTGCCATGGCTGACTCCAGAAGGAGTGCTACTTGACTTTCACAACGTCCTATAAGACCTTTAAATTAAGCCACATTAAAATTACTAGATAAAGAATGACTCAGAGAGACACTCGCCCCAATTTATTAGTTTGTTTTTCACTGCACTCGCACGCAGGTGGAGGCCAGAGAGAAATGCCTGGGAGTTGCTGTTCTCCTTTTACCATGTGGGTCCTCAGGTTTGGCAGCAAACACTTACCAGCCCCGCAAAGGAAATTGAAAGTTACCACGAAACCAGTGTCAGTGTCACATCAGCCACATGGGTATTCAGAGGTCTCTCTTGGAATTCATTCGGAACAATTCCTACCATGCAGTGGTGTATGGACGCACACAGGTTTGTTTGTTTGTTCTAGAAGTAGTATGTGTGTGTGCATGCATGTGTGCGTGTGTGTAAGCATGCATGTGTGCTCGTGTGTATGCATCCGCGTGTGTGCATGTATGCATGTACGTGTGTAAGCATGCATGTGTGTGTGCATGCATGTGTGTACGCATGCATGTGTGCATGTGTATGTACAGATGTACAGTACATTGTATGTGGAAGTCAGAGGCTGACACCTGGGTGACAACCATTCCCCAGGTGACCAGGCTGACCCACCATGAACTTTAGGGCTGCCTGTCCCTGAGCTTGGCCTCCCCCTCCCCCAGCATTGGGATTGCATAAGTGCAACTCTGTGCCTGGCTTTTTAGCAGCTGAGCCACCTCTCCAGCTACACTACAAGCCCGGGCTGTCCTTGAACTACTTGTGTTCCTCCTGCCTCGACCTCCAGGGTGCTTGGCTAATGATCTACTTAAATTTACTTTATTTTACTTCTTACTACCTATGCATGTTGGGGAGCATCCATATGCCACAGTGTGCATGTGAGATCAAAGGCCAGCTTTGGGAGTCAGTTTGCCATGGGTTCCGGGAAGTGAACTCAGGCCAACAGGCTTTCTTAGCAAACACCTTTACTCACTGAGCCATCTCACTGGTCCTAAAGACATGCTTGTCAAGGCAGACAGAAGGGAGCAAGCAGAATAGGGGTGTAATTCATCAGGACAGGACCTGCCTGTCACGGCAAGGCCCTGGGTTAAATCCTTAGCAACACACACACACACACATACACACAGAGTCACACACACATACTCACACACAAATGCATACACCTACACACATACACTCACACATTCACACACACACACACACATACACACACACATACACAAGCCCCTCTCTCCTTCATAACAAGGTTAGTATTTCGTGTTGCATTTTATTTTGTTGTTTTGAGACAGGGTCCTACCATGTAGCCTAGGCTAGCCTATAACTTGCAATCCTCTTGCCTCCATCTCCTGAGTGATTAAAATCACAAAACTGTACCACCACATCCAGCACAAAGTGGTTTTTATTTCAACATTATCTTATAAGAATTTTATTACACTACCATAAACAGATACTCCGAAGTTCCAAAATATAAAAAAGGTATCTGTGTTACGTAGCCCAAAACGACAGACATCTATTAACATGCACTTGGCCTCAGCATTAAGTTTCCCTGGTGCAGAAGATAGGAACCTCATCTTCACCCTGCCTTACAGCAGGCAGAGTGGGTGGCTACTACATGCTCTGGCGTTTCTTACTTCACCGGATTGATATAAAAGAAAGAAGGGTAGCAGGAAAGGAATTCTTACCATAAACAGATACTCTCAAATTCCTTAGCAACAGTCAGAAAACCGTCATCTTCCCACACTCTACTCTGACCCCAGGCTTTCCTGTTTCAAAGAGATGTATAGGGTTTCTGTAAGCAGTCTTAAATTTCTATGTGCATTACTGTGATATACATAGGATGTGTATATGCAGCACATGCGGGCCACGGAACACACATGCAGGCCACGGAGCACACATGCAGGCCACATGGAGACCTGTTCTCCTCTCCCACCTTTACATGGACTCGGGGGGGGGGGGGGGGCTCAAAGCTGGGCCATCAGGTTTACACAGCAAGTGCTTTACCCACCGAGCCATCTTGCCAGGCTACATTAACCTTCTTTTTTTTTTTTAAGTGTACATTAGAAAAATAAAGAGACAAAACAACTTTATAATTACCCAATTATATTAGTCTAAGAGGCCTAGTTACCTATCATACATTTCCAAATCAAATTTAAACAGCTTTGAGTATGTCTTGCACTTGTAACGAAAACCTTAGGCGATTCTAAACCTTGCAGTGTCCGGGGCGAAACAGCAAGAGCTGTCGTCTGTTAGATTTCCACACAGCAGTGAGTTCCTCTCATTCTCGCTGTCGAGGTGACATCATAGTCCCATTCACAGAAGGGACGATGCAGATTCAGAACTGTGTCACCTATCCAGTCCGAAAACACAAAGGCATAAACTGTCTGTACAATAGAATATATATGTGTATGTATGTATGTATGTACGTATGTATGTATATATATAAAAGTCTGGCCAACCTGGGAGCACTATAGCAATATTTATGCCATACCATATAAAAATGTGTCACTACATAAAAACTCCAACAGAACCACTCTCAGAGGACACTTAAGAAGTCGCACGAAAAGGTGGCCCAGTTGGTAAGGGGCCCATTGTACCTCCTTACTAAGCAATAACTACAAAGAAAGATCATGCCAAGCGTGGTGTTGTGTTATGTGATGCCAGCCCTTGGAAGCTAAGGAAAGAGGATGGCGCTAGGGTTTGGGCAGGAAACGGTCCTCTCAGGCTCTCTGCCGGCTGGCGGGCATGTGAGAAGTACAACTTTGACTCCATGGATGCATTGACATGTTAGTGGATTAAAACCGTGACGGGCGTAAGAACAGTGTTAGGGTGTGGGTTTGGTTGGAGGATGGATCATGAGGTGAGGTACTCAGTCACATGTCCAGGCTCCTACCACCATGGTGTTCTGCTTTACCATATGCCTTGAAACAACAGACTCAAGAGCAGTGAAACAGAAGCCTCCGAAACCACAGGGCCAAATAAGTCATCCTTTAAACCGTTTCTCTTGTGAAGCCTGAGTAGCTCGGTGACCCTGTTTTATTTAAGGGAATATTATCATCCCTCTGAGAGATTTCGCCTCTGAACTCTGATAGAGTCGTTGCTGCTACTCCGGTTTGCCACGGCAGATAACAAATACTCTTTTCTTGTTTGAATTTGAATGCATTTTCTCTGGTTGGAGTTTTAAAAATAATGTTGTATATTTGAGATTTCCTGCTTAAAAGCAGCCAAGGGTGAGTGCTGAAGAGACAGCCTAGTGGTTGACTCTTTATTCAGGAATACAACTGTACCCATGCGGCTGTAATGAAAGACCAGGATTTGATAGTTTTTTTTTTTTTTGCTTAGTTTTGGTGTTTGTAAGATTTATTTTTATTATTTTCATCGATGTCTGTGTGTTGGGGAGCTGCGTGAGCTCACAGAGGCCAGAAGAAGGCGCTGAACCCTCTGGAGCTGGAGTTACAGGCAGTTGTGAGCCACCCAATACGGATGTCGGGAACCAAACTAGGGTCCTCCGGAAAGACAAAACATGAAGGCATTTCTCCAGGACCTCATACGAGTTCTAAACAAACTTTTGCAAATTTATGTTACACTGTGCCTTTTCCCTAAAGACCTTACAACAAAAGAGGGTTGGGTTTTGGAGAATAGAAATGGTGCCCACACTCCACGGCAGAAGGCTGGAGGCTCGACCTCCCAAGAGCCTCGTTAGGAGGTTTGCGGGCTGGAGAGAGAGCGCTCAGCATCCACGCAAAAGCGTGAGCATGGTGGCAGACACCTGCAATCCCAACACTGCGGTGGGAAG